TGCCAATTACATGAGGTTCTTGAAGGCTTTGATTCTTGCATCCATCTGGAAGCTTCTGCACTAACAGCACATGTAACTTCTATATGTTTGTTTGGTTGGTTTATCTTCTAAAGTCTCTGACAATCATTGTGCTTTGACATTAGTCTCGTGAGACTATTCCCATGCTTCCACTGCCACGTGCCTGCTCACTCTGACACTTCTCCATTCATGGAAATAGATTTCCTTTCCAATTCCAGCTGCAGTCCAGAACAACAGGTGTAGTCTCTGAAAGAATAAAACGGGAAAGAAGATGTGAACTGAGTAGTGCTTCAATAAATGTATATCGGGTCCCACAAATCTTTACTGAGCTCTGGGTATGGCAGGAACCGGGCTGGGTGTGGAGCTTTCAAATATGAATAAAGCAGGTCCGACCCCCTCAGTAGTTCACAATTAGCAGAGAAAGGGGTGTTGTTGGTACCCAGTCAACAGGAAATCAAGCCATTGAGCAAACACATCACACTCTACGCTTTGAGTGCTGTGACAAAGGAATGGATTCAGCATGGTGACTGGAGGAGCCCATTCTGATTCAGAGGATGGGAAATTTTCAGAAGGACAGTGATTGCCTATTCAACATCCATTCCACCACCCCAGGTCCTTGCCAACAGGTCCCTGATTTTTGTTCAGGTATCTGTCCTTAAGGAACCCACAGGAATAAACCCTGAATAGTGTAATCCAGTCATGGTAATCCCCTTCCTCTTGCCAGGATGGATTTACATCTGGACATGTGCCGAAATTATGGCCAAGAGAATATGACAGGAAATAGGCTGGGGAGACTTCCGGTTTCCTTATTCTTAAAAGGAAATGCCATTTTCCTCTGGATCCTGCTGTTTGGATCTGATGAATGGAACTGTCAGCTATCTGTGATTGAGAGGATTGAGAGACATACTTGCCCACGGGCCCTCGGCAGTTGGTTACCTGGTATTTGTATGTGTGGGTGTGTAACAGCACGTGTGTGGGTATAGGCACGTATCTACAAATCTGTGAGCTTCTTCATAACATGGATGAGGTCTTACACATCATTTTTCCCTCCCACAGGATCTAGCATAGTGCCTAATACATAGAAGACACCACCTAAACGTCTTCGAATAAATCAATACATAGAAAATCTACTCATGGTGGGAATTAAGGAGGGCACTTGGGATGAGCGCTGGGTGTTATATGTAAGTGATGAATCATTAAAGTCTATTCCTGAAATCATTATTATACTATATATTAACTAACTTGGATTTAAATTAAAAAGAAATAGGGGCGCTTGGGTGGCGTAGTCGGTTAAGCGTCCGACTTCAGCCAGGTCACGATCTCGCGGTCCGTGAGTTCGAGCCCCGCATCAGGCTCTGGGCTGATGGCTCAGAGCCTGGAGCCTGTTTCCGATTCTGTGTCTCCCTCTCTCTCTACCCCTCCCCCGTTCATGCTCTGTCTCTCTCTGTCCCAAAAATAAATAAACGTTGAAAAAAAATTTTTTTTTAATTAAAAAGAAAGAAAGAAAGAAAGAAAGAAAGAAAATCTACTCATGGCATTAATCATAATCATGTATTAGAACATAACATAAAATTTTACTAAAATGTTAACAAACATGTTTCCAGTAGGTGTGATGTTTTCCATTTTGGTAATTTTGCAAAATACAACACAAGACTAATCTATATTTGTACAGTCCAATATGGTAACCCCTGGACACATGGCCTGTGTGAACTTAGTTAAAATTTATTAAAAATTCAGTTCCTCAATCACATTAATCGTAAGAGGCTAGTGACTTCCATATAAGACAATGCAGATAAGACCATTTCTATCATCATAGAAAATTCTATTGGACAGCATTGTTCTAGAGCATGCAATGCCCACCTCCGAATGTAGCCCAGTACTTGGCACATGGTAGGCACTCAATAAATATTTGTTAATGCATTCTATAGATCATTCCAGATATTACTACAAGAGCCCAAACACAAAATGGCAAGCCCCATCCTGGCAATGAAAGCAATAGAACTAAATATTTAGCATATGGCAAAGCCAATACCCACTGGTCTATAATGATGCTGAGGTATCTAGAAAGTCCTACAGGTCCCCTAACTGGTAGACCGCCCTCAGCACATGTGTTCCCCAACCACAAAGTCAAGCCCAAGCTGAACTGATGAAACTGGACTGATCATCCATTACACAACGGCCTAGGTTTATAATATATTCTTCCATTTGTTTCCATGGACTGGCTCTCCCAATGTACATTTCAGAGCTAATGCTCAATTTCCACTCTCTTAAATTTCATCAAGAAATTTCACAATGAACCAGAGATTTGAGATTATTCTCCAAGCCCCAGGGGATAAAAATACCTTTTCTGGTCCCAAGGCATCAGGTAATACGCAGACGTGAAAGTCAGACAGACCTGAATTGAAAGCCAGCTCAATCCCTTAGCTGTGTGACCACGGGCACATTGTTCAACTTCTCCTAGACGTTGTTTCTTTACCTATGCCATGGGGATGTAAAAGGTTCTACCGGGCAAGACTCTTCCAGCATGTGATGTGTCAGCGCATGGAGCACACTTGGTTCCTTCCCTGTGCAGTGGGTCCCAGGCGAACGGCCGGGTCGGCCAGAGGGGCTCAGCAAATGTGCATGCCTTTCTCCTTCCCTTCCCTTGCACAGTCTACCTGAGGTCCCTCTGCATACACTCCCTGTTCTGAGGGCTTGTTAGTTTTGTTAATGAGCTATAAACTCGAAGCTACCAACCAGAAGAAGGAGAAGAACCTGAACCTAAAGAGAAATCAGCCCCCAGACACCACAAATGAAATGGATGCCTGGCCTCAACCGACTCGGAGATGGAGCTGCCTTCAGAGCTGCCTTGCTAGCTCGTCTTCACACACTGCCCCTCCTTGGGAGACCCAGCCTGTACTCAGAGTGTAATCCTGAATCTAATCAAGAAAAAGGAAAGCTCCTCCCAGCCGGTAGTGTATGCAAGTGGCTGAAAGAGTGGTTGGGGGCGTTGGGGGTAGGGGTGGGGGGGGGGGGGGTTGTACCCAGGCCCCAGCAAACAGGCAGGTTCTAGCCTTGTCCCTTGAGGCTGTCCCCACCTAGAGCCCAACATCCCTTTCTCCCCCTCTGGACACCCCCCTCTGCTGGCTGCTTTGTCTCCTGTCTCCTGTCTCCTGTCTCCTAGAGACTGGGGCTTCCCCCACCACTGACCTGTCCTCCTTCTGTCTTTTTCCAGCACGCTTCTTTCTTCCCTCAAGCACCAACTCTCCCCGACAGGATTCCTGAAAATTCGCACTAAAATGATAGGGTGTGCCCCTAAGGATATATGCACCTAATAAGGATATATTCAATAGAGCAAATGATGTTAGAACAGGGGTCCCTAGGGGCGCCTGGGTGGCGCAGTCGGTTAAGCGTCCGACTTCAGCCAGGTCACGATCTCGCGGTCCGTGAGTTCGAGCCCCGCGTCGGGCTCTGGGCTGATGGCTCGGAGCCTGGAGCCTGCTTCCGATTCTGTGTCTCCCTCTCTCTCTGCCCCTCCCCCGTTCATGCTCTGTCTCTCTCTGTCCCAAAAATAAATAAATGTTGAAAAAAAAATTTTTTTTAAAGAACAGGGGTCCCTACTTAATCCCATGCTTCTCACCTTCAAGGGAGTCTCAGATTTAAAATGAGAGCCTGTGTTTATAAAGATGACCAAAAATTGGTGGTGGTGGTTGTTTTTTTTATCTCCAAGAAAATATTTCAATACCTGTGTCTCTCTCTGGGGTAATACAGGCAGGTGAGTGAACTGCATTCACTCTTACGAAAGCCACACAGCTACAGAACCAGTGGTTCACCCAACCCTGTATTCTGTCATCTGTCATGAAATTCACTAATGTCACCTACCCACAACTTAGCATTCCTTATTTAGCCTGCCTCTATGTATTTATCATATTACAGCCTATAAAATACTGTTCTACTCAGTATGTTTAAACATCTTACGAGCCCTGAAATTGCATTCTGGCTGCCAGATCGAGCTTTTCACGATTTTATCCACTGGATAAAATCCCGCTATTTCACTTTTGTCCACCCTGCAAAAGCCTTAATGGTTTTATTTGCTTATCTTTGGGTCTTTGCCCATCAAAAAGTCTAAAAATACATCATAAATATCTTAAGACACTTTAACTATTTTAAACCGTCTTTAGTATTTTTTTTTAATTTTTTAACATTTATTTATTTTTGAGACAGAGTGAGGGAGAGGGAGACACAGAATCTGAAGCAGGCTTCAGGCTCTGAGCCGTCAGCACAGAGCCTGATGTGGGGCTTGAACTCACGAACCATGAGATCATGACCTGAGCTGAAGTCGGACGCTTAACCGACTGAGCCACCCAGGCACCCTGAGCCATCTTTAGTATTTTAAAGATGAATCAGGCTTTCAATAGTGTTTTGGTTTTGTTTGTTTTTTTTTCTTAGGGATGTGTTTCACTATTGACCACAATCTCTCCATTAGTGCAATGAACATTTAACTATAGTGTATTCACGTAATGGGGGGCAAGCTTTAGAGGAACAGAAATATTTAATCACACATTGGGGCGTCTGGATGACTCAGCTGGTTGAGTGAAGGACTTCTGCTCAGGTCACGATCTCACGGTTCATGAGTTCGAGCCCCGCGCCAGGCTCTGTTCTGACAGCTCGGAGTCTGGAGCCTCCTTCGGATTCTGTGTCTCCCTCTCTCTGCCCCTCCCCCACTCGTGCTCTGTCTCCATCCCAAAAATAAATAAACATTAAAAAAATGTTTTGGGGGGGCACCTGGGTGGCTCAGTCAGTTAAGTGTCCGACCTCAGCTCAGGTCACGATCTCGCGGTCCGTGAGTTCGAGCCCCGCGTCGGGCTCTGGGCTGATGTCTCAGAGCCTGGAGCCTGCTTCTGATTCTGTGTCTCCCTCTCTCTCTGCCCCTCCCCCGTTCATGCTCTGTCTCTCTCTGTCTCAAAAATAAATAAACATTAAAAAAAATTTTTTTTAATTTGTTTAATATTTAATCACTCATATAAAGTTCTCAGTTTTTCCTTTACAGTTGTAACCTATCTATCGATGCTTAACTTAATCGAGCCCTGGTGTTTCCCAGGCTGAAGGAGATCTTGCTTTGAGCCATCTCCCAGGACACAACCAGCTTCGAGTGCTTCTGGGATGTTTCAGAGGTGAAGACAGCCACGCATCAAGTCAGCCCCAGGCAAACTTTTATCCCAGTAGGGGTGGATGATGTTGACTGCTAAGTTTTGGAGCACAGTTTCAGTTTTCTGTAGCTCTTCCCAGAGATTAGAAACCAAAACCCAGACCATGCTTTGCTTTTCGTACTATCACCTCTGTAGGAGTTCTTTGTATCTTTCTCCCACAGACCTTCCTGTCCCCACAGCGTGAGAAGTCACAGTGCTGCTCTGCTCCCCTGAGCTGAGCGCTTGCCTCTTCCCACTTCGTAACAGTGACTGTTTTCCTGCTGCAGGAAAAGAGTTCGCCTTACCCACTCCTGCATTCACCAGCAAGCAGTTAGGGACTGCTTCCTATGTACTAAACTCTGCGCTGGATCCTGGCATACGTATTTAGTGGAAGCAAGTTCTAGAATAAGACATAAACAGAAAAACAAAGGATCATGGCAGCACACGGCACAATGACCACAAGAGGGGTCAGGGGACCCAAGGACACAGAGGGGAGAACAACTATTTCATCCTGATGACTTGGTGAGGGCAACAGAGAGATGGTGACCTTTGAGAAGGACTGGAAAGGTCAATAGTAACTCTCCAAACTGGGAAAGAAGGGGAGGGGGGCATTCTAGACAGAAGATGTCATTCGCCAACTTAGAAAATACAGATGCGGCAACACAACCCAATTCTGCCCGGGACGTGTTTGTGGGGCCTAGAACTGGAAGCATCTGCAACAGGTTCGAAATTGGAGTCTAGAGCTCCGGAAAGATGGCAAAGCAAGAGTCTCAGATTGATGACCCTTTGCTTGAAGCCACAGCACAGTGGGTCTCAATCAGGAGTACGTATGACGGAAGAAAAAGAGACCATGGATCGGGGAGCACACAAGAGAAATGGAGGCAACTCACAGCAGTGAGGGTACAGGTGGGAGTATTTCTGTCGTTTCTGAAAAAATTCCGTAGGCAAATGTAGGCGGGTGTCCAACAAGCTCACCAACAGAGCCGAGGAGACCTCCGCCTTGAGAGTCACATGCCCACTGATGGCTGCTGCTTTGTGCTCGTCCGTCGGTAAATAGGCAGGCATTTGCCCTCTCCTGGTTTCCGCATCGCTGATTTGACCCTTTGTTTTATGTCCCCTCTAACTCTCACAACTGCTTTTTCTTCTGCATCGTAAGATCTTTGTAAGTAGACCGAAAACCATATGTGGGAGAAGAGTTTACAAACAAAAATAAAGATCCAAAATACTACTCGACACCGCATCTAAGATGTCTTATGTCCCAAAGAGGAAACCATCTATTTTTTAAGGAATTAGTTTGTCAGCATCGTTGGATCTGAGGCATTTTCTTGTGGCACTAGTCGCATCCTCTCCGGCATAAGTGGCGCAGGAGTCCCAGACTCTCTGATGCGCCTCCAGTCCCAACAGGAAGCTCTTCTCTCTGACGCTATGGTCATTCAGGTTCCCGAAAAGCCGTTGACAGATCATCCGGGAGGTGGGGAACACGAGCTGGAATTTTGTCCGAGGGACAGGAGAGCAGGATGTGGTCGCCTTTTCCTCCACACGCAGTTGTCACTGTGACCTGTCATCGCAGAGGAAGAGTGAGGCTTGGGACTCTGGGGATGCAGTGGAGGGTCAAGGAATGATGCCACCACTCAGCGGGATCCTCAGAGAGACGAGCGGTGCAGGGGACCACACAGACCCCAGGGATCACAGAACGAAGGGAAGCAGAGGGCAGCTGTCTGCAGGACATGCAACCCTTCAGCTCTGTGCTACTCAGACATCCCTTAATTAGGGCCAAAGAGCAACAATGCAGCCTCCATCCCACCTACCTGCTTCTGGAAATCCCAGAGTACATTTACATAGCTCACGAGTCCAAGTTTGCTGTCGTTGGCCAACTGTCCTGTTACCAGGAAATCTGGCCGACCACCTTCTGCCATATCACAGTGCCCTTCCTGAGCCGTGCTGGTCTTCCCATGCCCCTGCCCCCAGAATGGGCCACGCCTCAGTTTCCCCAACACTGAGCTCAGGCTATAACAATGAACTGAGGAACTGGGGATAATAGATGAAACTTACAAAAGAGAAAAGAAAAATCTTAGACGTGAATGCCAGATATAACTGCACATGGTTGTCCACAGGCTTAAGCCCTCTAGACCCCTCAGCTTGCCTGGGAGGGACAGCACAGTTATTGCTAGAGGGGTCCCAAACTAATCACTGCTGGCTTCCCTCCTGCTCTGTGAGTGCCCCAAAAAGAAAGATGAACTGCATGATTTACCTGCCCACCATGGAATTCAGAAGGGCTTTTATCAGCATGCCGTGGGTGCCTCTCTCCAGAGTCCTGGGCCTCTGCCTCTCCAAAGATCAGCAAGAGGGAAAAGGTAAACCCTGTCCAAGACCGGCTTTGTTGTCAGAGTAATAACATGCAGAGTGCAGTTCTGTTGGTCTATCAGAACTAATGCTATCAGATTAAGTTCAAAAATTTCTTTTTGGAGGGGTACCTGGGTGACTCCGTCAGACTGTTGAGCATCCGACTTTGGCTCAGTTTGATCTCGCAGTTCATGGTTCGAGCCCGGCCTCGGGCTCTGTGCTGACGGCTCAGAGCCTGGAGCCTGCTTCGGATTCTGTGTCTCCCTCTCTCTGCTGCTCCCCGATCACGCCCTGTCTCTCTCTTTGGAAAATAAATAAACATTAAAAAAAAATCTGTTTTTAATTTTTTTAAGACCTGATTCATAAATGAATATTTTTTTTTTCTTCGCTGAATAAGGCTCCAACAATATCTGAGTATCGGCAAATCAGAATAACCTTATGGGCGGGGTCCCAGGCAGCTCACCTGAAGTCCCAAGCTGGGAGCCAAGAGACCTGCTCCTACTGGACGTGCTCCCCAAACACTGGGAAAGAAAGAAAGGAGTCGGCCAGGACTTCTCCCCAGAGTCCGGGCCATTACGATGCCAGCTGGCAGAGTACTGTGCCATTCCATGATTCTTGTCACCATTCTTGACCAACCCATGGGGACAGGCAGCCTTACCCGGGGCCTGTGGAAACCAAAGGGCATGGGGGTAGGGCAGTAAATGTGATCTGGCTCTCGGCCAGATCTGGCATGGCTTAGCTTGGTCACAGGCAAGAACCAAGGAGAATGCCAGGAAAGGGTCACTTCCCTCTATATGGCTGTGAGGGGCTCCCTGGGGAACTCTAGCACACAACCAAGAGACCCTTTGAGGACTTTCCCCCACCAAACCAAGAGGTACCTGCAAAGAACAATCCAAACTTCCATCCAGAAAACAGAAAACGTTCTTGGCAGCTTAAACACAGAGCCCCCCAGGGTCCCCCACATTCCAGCCATCAAGGGTTCCATAGCCCTGAGTCCCCCGCACCCTCTGCCACCCCTCAGACCTCCATCTGTTGGTTGTGGGTCATCGCTCCTGTCTCGTTCACCATCCAGGAGAGGGACATGCTCACTGAGGGGCCCACACGGACTGTGCACTCATCTAGAAAGCAGCACCATGCACCTGACCTAACACAGTGCCTCTGGGATCAGGAAAAGTGGACTTTGGTCTCTGGGCCCTTGATTGATTTATCATGTGACTTCAAGCCTGTGTCTCCATAGCCATCTGCCCCACCTACTCTGGGCATTTATAACTAAAGAGCGATCTGGCAGGCACTCAATATGGAGCTGTGAAGTTTTCGCCTCCGTTACTCTATCCAAAGAAAAGCCCGTTAACAGACATATGCTGCAATGCACCCACTGCACAGTCACCCATCCATTCACCCCAGCAAAAGCATGGCATTGACCTCAAAATGTAGTTTTGGGAGTTAAGTGCTCGTCCCAGCGGTTTCTGTTACACAGTGTCAAAGTGATTTTTAGATCTTGAGCAAACGGCTGCCTTTGTCTTTCTAAACGTCCACTGGTATCGATAATAAGGGAATTCCTGACCCACAGACCCCGGTGGTTTGCTATTTGTACCAGAAATACCAAAGTCAACAGAATTTACTAGCCTTGCAGGTAAGTGGGGACAGTGCAAGGACACTGGGATGGAAGCCATGTGACCAAGAAAACGCACTGAGGACAGATCGGGGAGGAAACGGGCAACAGTTATACTAATGCAGTGACGGGCGATTCTTCTCAAAGCAGCCTTCGCTGTTTTCGTATCGTCTCCACGATAAAATCAGCAGTGGGAAGGGAAAAAATAAAAGCTCACCGAACTTCAGTTGGAAGGCTTGAATTACAACCCTCGCTTTACTTCTGTGGTTCCCTGGACAAATCACTAACGTTCTTGGCGCTTCTGTTTCTTCATCTGTGACATGGGGACAATGGTATACGCTGTTGTGATTGACCCACCAACCTCCATAACCCTTCCCTGGTAAGAGCATCTTAAATTCACTGGGGGAAATAACCTTCCTCTGCTTCGGATCCAATGCGCCCTCCCCTGTTGAGTCTTGACAGGGCTCTGTCGGTAAAGGCTCTGCTGACCCAGGAGCAGGGTACTGACCCCAGTTGGGCCCATGAGACTCTCTCCCCCGATCCTTGACTCTTAACCATAGGGTCCCAAGGATGGACACGATGAGCATTTTTCAACTGCTCCCTCAGTTACGTGAGTCTTCTATATCCTCCAGATAAACCCACTTTTGGCTGCAGTTAGCCAAAATTGGTTTCTGTAGCTCACCACCAAAAAAGTATAATCATCCTGCATTTGATAATTGCCCAGCCACTTCACAGATTGTTCTGAGATCAGATAGACCCTGGGTGTGCAAGTGTTTTACTAACCAAAATGGTCTGTACAGATATTGGCATTTCTACTATGTGGGGTCAAACTCTCCACGTGCACACTGGGCAGCATGAGTCCTGGACGCTGTGAAATCTCCATCACATTGGCCTAGAAAGATCTGGGACCAACGGTGCCAAGGAATCTCCCCTCAGGACGAGAATAGCCGACATGCTTCCTGCCCCCACCCCATCTGCATGGCGTTCTCTGCTCCAACCTGAGCTCCTGGCCGGGCAAGGGCTGGCTGGTGCCCGCTTCAGGCAGGCAGGGCTGCAGGCATCGTGAGCTAGATTAGTTCATGGATTAGCTAATGGATTAGCTGAGAAAAATTCTCCCCGCCCTCGGAGGCCAACTAAATAAACAAGGGGAGAACATAACGTCAGAATGAGCTTCACTGCCTGAAGCACTAGGCACGGCCAGAGTGAGGCGAGAGCTGGAATGACTTTTATTGAGATGCTTTTGAAAATGCTCAGCAGTTTTGATGCTGATGACTGAGCTTGCTGTTTTCTTGCTTTTCCTCAGTGGCTCTTTCCAGCCATGATATATTGGCCCAGAGTCCCAGGTTTGTTCTTTTGAAAGAAAGAGCTTTACAGTGAAAGTCAGGGGTGAGCTCGGAGTCTGCCAACCAGCTGAAGGTCTTCTAAACAGAAGTCCAAAAGGTAAGTGCTCGGGGCACCTGGGTGGCTCAGTTAAGTGTCGGACTCATGGTTTCGGCTCAGGTCATGATCTCATGGTTTCGTGAGTTCTAGCCCTGCATCGGGCTCTGTGCTGACAGCACAGAGCCTGCTTGGGATTCTCTCTCTCTGCCTCCTTCCCTGTCCCTCCCCCACTCACACCGTCTCTGTCTCCCTCGAAATAAATAAATAAACTTCAAAAAAGAAAAAAAAGGGTAAGTGCTTATCCCAGTGCTTTCTGTTGTGCAGCATCTAGAGGAATCTTAAACCTTGAGTAGACAGAAGTGGTTATAGAAATGAGCCACCCTTGCCTCTTTGTGTTGAGTCGTCCTTACAGAGGAGAATGCAGAAGAGGCATTGCTTTCCTCGATTTAGGGTCCAGCATGCACAGCGTTCTCTGCATGAAACCCAATTCCTGCCTCACACTCCCCTGCTGACCAGGAGGACACAAGCCCCACAGGGGAAAGTCAGCCCTGTGCAGAACCGGCTTTATTCAAAGGTAGAAGCGTGCAAAGTGCCCTAAGGGAAGCCACCACAAAGTTTTCTGGACATTCCAAATGGAACACAGAGACAACAGAAGAGTTGGTACGGAGGTCGCCCGGATGACAGCACAAGCAGGACGTGTCAAGGTGGTGGGGGTGGCAGGAGAGAAGCTCAGAGTAAAGTCAAGTGCGAGGGTGTGGCCGCCAAAAGGCTCGCTGGGGGTAACTGGGCCAAAGCCACAGTTAATAAGTGACAGGGGCATCTGGGTGGCTCATTTGGTTGAGTCCCACTCTTCATTTCAGCTCAGGTCTGGATCTGACAGTTTGTGGGATCTATCCCCACATCTGGTCCTGCACTGGCAGTGAAAAGACTGCTTGGGATTCTCTCTCTCTACCTCCCTCTCTGCTCCTCCCCTGCTTTTGCACGCGCTCTCTCCCAAAAGAAATCTAAATAATAATAATAATAACATAAGTGACAAATGCCACACTTTGAGCCCAGATCTGTATAACACTTCCACAAACCAGAGAGAACTCACCGATGCTTCATTTTTCAGAGCCTGGCACATATACACGATGCCAAAAAGTCTGCAAAGGATGGGGTGCCTCAGACATGGCCTCTGACATCATGAGCCCTAGGATCCAGCTGAGGAAGTGTGTGTGAAGCAGACCCCCCAGCCCACACCCTCTCCCCTAAGCATGCAGGCAGGATCCTCAGCAGCCCGATCCCAAAGTACTCCTAGGACCATCCAAAGGAAACATTCCATGCTCCCAAGCCAGACATCTAGCCACACCTACCATCCCCCCTCTTCTCTCAGACCCTCATGTCATTTCCCATGACCCTGAGGACTGGGGTAGGGTGACCCACCTTGACACTGCTTACTGTGCCCATGTGAGCACAGCTGTCCTCATAGGTGCTGTCTCCTGATGCTCTGGGTACCAGAGGAGTGCAGGATCTGATAGAAGGGAGAGCCCTGTGTTCCATGTCTCACAAAATCTTCCCTAAAAATAGCTCTGTGTGTGTGTGTGTGTGTGTGTGTGTGTGTGTATTGAGAAAGGGAGAAAATGTTCATAAAAGGATAACTATATAAGGCATAATGTGACCAATGACCAATATCAAAAGCATAATACCCTTTGATGAAATATCAATCTTCACAGAATGTCTTTCAAGTAAAGTAGAATCTATTCAAGAATTAAAAGAGAAGGAAAAGGCTCCTTCATGCATCCTTTCATAACTCCCAATACTCCCTCTATCAGAGCACTTCTCACACAAAATTGTACTTGCCTATTTATTTCTCTATACCCTCCAGTGAACTGTAAGATCCATGATGGAAGGTCTTGTGTAGTTTTTGTTTTACATTATAATATAGAGGCCTTTTGGAGTGTCCAACTCATACTAGGTGTGCGATCAATACTGAACAGATAGATGGATGGATAGGTGGATGGATGGAAGGATAGAAGGATGGATGGATAAGTGGATGGAAGGATGGATGAATGATTACATGGATGGATGGATGGATGGATGGATGGATGGATAAGTGGATGGAAGGATGGATGGATAAGTGGATGGAAGGATGGATGAATGATTACATGGATGGATGGATGGATGGATGGATGGATGGATGGATAAGTGGACGGAAGGATGGGTGAATGATTTACATGGATGGATGGATGGATGGATGGATGGATGGATGCTTAGTTGGAAGGATGCATGAGTGGTTGGGAAGATGGACATGAGAACTATATGGACAAAAGGTTTTCTTTGTATGTATCAAGATGGACCCTTCCTTGCTTTCCTTGATAATTTTCCAAAAACATCTATTTAGCATTCCTTGGAGACTACAGGTGTATCACACTACAGAATAATTGTAATTGCCAAAATTCCTTTTCAGTGAGAGCACCAGGTAACAGAAACATGTGAATGAGACCAGAAGGATGGCCAGTGTAAACAGGTGCAGGAACCAGAGCACCTATATGCAGAGTGATTACTTATGCAGGCAAGAACAATGAACAATGCCAAATGGGCTATCCTCAACTTGAAAAAAAGTTATGGACAGATTTAGTCTAGAATTTCTTGGGCAACCATGTGGCATAGGGAAAATGCCCAGGACTTGAATTGAAACATCTGGCTGGGCTCCAATCTGCCACTTATTTACTCTAATATTATGCACAACTCACTCAGTCTCTCTGGTGCTTTAGAGACTTCACCTGCAGAAGGACAATAATAATAATACCTAGTCTTCCTGGTAAGTAGGAAGACTAAAGAAATTATGAAGGTGAAAGTCTCTATCAACTGGCAGGCACCTTACAAATGCCGATATTCATAGTCAAACCTTCAACCAACCTGTGGACATAGGAATATCAAAGAGCATCCTTATCCATTTCCAAGTGACACTGAGACACAGGGGATCCAAGTAAGTTACCTCAAGGGTTGATGCTAAAGCTATGAAAGTCTGCTCCTCAGGGCACCTGAGTGGCTCAGCCGGTTGACCATCTGACTCTTGATTTCGGTTCAGGTCATGACCTCATGTTTTTTGGGTTCAAGTAGAGTGTTGAGCTCTGCGCTGACAGTGTGGAACCTGCTTGGGATTCTCTCTCTCCCTCTCACTTTCTGCCTCTCCTGTGCACTTGCTCTCTCTCTCTCTCTCTCTCTCTCTCTCAAAATAAATAAATAAAAACTTTTACAAAATTATAAACAGAAAGAAAGAAGAAAGAAAAAGAAAGAAGAAAGAAAGAAAGAAAGAAGGAAGGAAGGAAGGAAGGAAGGAAGGAAGGAAGGAAGGAAGGAAGGAAGGAAGTCTGCTCATCTCCTGGCCCTGACCTTCAGACTCTGCCCCTGGGGCTCCACATGACAGGAGACAGCTAGCTAAGACCTTCAAGAAACACCAGGACATCCCAGCCCTGGGAGACACATGTGATCTTATGATGGTGCTTTATAACATAAATTTTAAATACAAATACCACTGCCTTTCAGGCCGTCCTTTGTACCCCCTGCGTATCTGGGCAGAAGATGAGCGATGGTGTGCCCCCTACCCTAAATTTGACACCTTCAGCCATTGGAGGTACTCATTGGATATCAGGATTCTCTCAGATAGTCTGGATTTGGGACCTTAAAGGTCACCTAGTTCAACCCTGTCCTTATGAAAATGAGGAACGTATGTGCTAAAGAAGTGATATGATTTACTGACTGCCCATGATCTATTGGCCCTGGGGACTTCAAAGTAGTTACTGCATGTGGCAGTAAAGAAATAAGAATAAGCATGATATTCTAATTTATGGATTCTTTTGAGGACACAGATGGGAGGAAAATGCAGGAGTGCTCTTTATCAAGCGCTGCTGCCCATGGCAACATGATAGTGTCTCTTGACTAATGAGGACTTTGGGGGAAGTTACCATTTAATATAAATGTGAGTCGTAGTCTGCCTTGGGTCTTCATGCAGAGTTCTCTTTCGATTCTGCCCCAAGGCCAGATGGCAGGATTGTGGCTGCAAAAAGATTAAATAAAATGCATGTCTTACTCAAGGACAAAGAAACTGAGCGCATCTCAAAGGCCTCTCATTAGGCTCTTCTCTTTACTCCCACCCCATTGTAAGTTACTACAAAGACCATCCCAGTCCCAGTACATTTAAGACACTGCGCCAAAGTGACAACCCAGCCCTGGAACAACTGTCTAGGGCATACCGTCTGAACTTGAGCTAACAAGGTGGAGTACCGAGCACATCATAGATTGAAATACAATATTGGTAGATGCACTCTCCAGGGAGGCTTCTAAAAATAAAGCTCAGGGAGCAGCGCAAACGTTCTGCTGAGGTAGCAGAGAGGGGCCTAGGGCATTGTGTGGCCTCTGTGTGAGCAGGAGTCCGTGATCAGATGGATGGAGCTGGACGTCACCAGGCACATGTGAAACCGACTCTCCCTTGGAGCTTCAGAGTAGGTAGTGAGGACGTGGAACAACAAAGGTTCCATGTGCAAAGATGGGGGGGCTTGAAGTGTAAGATCCGGAGGCCCAACCCTCTTCAATCTTTGCTTTTTCCTTGGTATCCTCCTAATTACTATTTTCTACATCATCAGCACTAGATTTACCTTTGCCCCGCAAGAGAACAGAGTGTGTTTCCTTGTGCCCACAGAAATACCAAGCTGAAAGATTTGAGAAGGTAAAGAGAAATGAAATTGAATGGAAATCAACGTATACCTGTTTGTTGTGCTAGGTACTGGTTATACAAAGCCCATGGGAAAGTTGTAGAGTCTTGAGCCAGATCCTTGCCACCTCAGTAACTTAGTCATCTTGCGTATAAAGTGTAGTCAATGGAAATTAATACTTACCTTGCATAGTTGAAAAGGACAAGAGATGGTGACTCCGAAGAACTTGATTCTCAACACCTGGAAGCTGTCAAAGTGCAGGCTTGCCCTTGAGAACACCACAAATCAGAGCCTCTACTCTCTGGGTCTTTGTACAACCTCCTTTCCAAGACACCTAGGGAAAAGGGCACTGCACACAGGGTGTCCTCAGGCAGCAAAGCTGCACAGACCTTCTGAAGGACAGTCAGCATCGACCCAGGACCCAAATGGAGGAACTGACCAGGTCTGCTCTGCATCTGCCATTACAGTGCTGGCGGGGGAGGTGAAAATTCGCCGAATGCACCTGACCATCTGAGCAATGGTACACTGGGAGGCAGGTAGAGAGATGCTTCCTGAGCTGAGCGTTGAGTAGCACAAAGTGGACCCCCTGTGGCCCACAGACCTGCCGTTCTCACAGGGCTTAGTGGATCCATTCTCATTACAAGTAGCTGAACCTTGCTTCAGTCTCCCCAGCATTGCAATGTCCAGTTAATGAGTCAGGTGCAATTATACATCACAGGCAAGTGTCAGAGCCTCTTCCTTCATTTGTCTGGAGAAGGAAATGTTACTCCCTAATGAATGGTCACTTACGTATAAACTCAAGTCAGTTTAACATGGATCTGGGCCAGGCACACACAAGGCATGGAACTATGCTCTCCACAGGCTGAGAAGTCACAAACGCTGAACTTGTGGAAAGCTACATATAGTGCAAGAGAGTTATGATAGCAGGTAAATATCATTTAAAAAAAATACAGAACAAAACTGGGAAAGACGTCATGTAGGAGGGGACATGTCATGTTGACCCAGGGGACCAGAGCAATTCCCAGTTGTACCAGGATTTGATTTTTCATTTATTAAATCAACCACAATTCCTGAGCTCATGGTACGTACCCACCAACACGTTAGAGCTGTGGATATTCTTGCAGCCAGGATCGGAGAGAGAACCCGGGTCTGTGCTGGTCAGTCGGACATCCCATTTCTAGAAAAGGATCACCTGAACAAAGACCTTCTGTGGATGCTCTGATCCTGGGCTCATCCTCAGATCCCAAATTCCCTTTACTTTCTTTTTTAATCCAGAGTTCAAGGCCATGTGGCCACCACAAAACCCTTTTCTCAGTCCGCTCTTTAAGATCCCATCCTGGAAGTACTGGGAGTGAATGCCTCAGCGGTCTCAGCTCCCTGCCACGCCGGGCCCGAGTCCCAGGAGCCCCTTGTGCTGACAAAATCACCAGTTGTGGTTTCAAGCCACAGTTGTGCAAGCCGTCTTTTTCCCTTCTCAGATTGCTAGGTTCTGTTCTCACACGCATGCCAGGCTCACGAAGCTGTGCAAGGCTCAGGAAGTGAATTCCTCTGTAGGGAAGTGATTTATAATGTTACAGCTGTAGGCCCACACACTGTCAGAATAAATCTAGTTCAATTTTTTCCAAGTTCTTCTTCACCATTTATCTTTCCTTTGTTTCCTCTCCCTGCCTTGTCCAATCCATCCTAACACACACACACACACACACACACACACACACACACACACACAGAGGCACGCATGCATGCACATGTGCGTGCAAGGCCCACAGCCCCTCCATTTCATTCTCATGTCCCAGGGCCGGGGTCGGATCCCCTTCTGGGGCCACATCCCCATTTCTGTGGTCCTACTCACTGGCTGGCCAAGCCCGGGGCTTGGGACCCAGCTGGAAAACCTAGCTCAAAATGTCAACCTCAAAAGGGACTCCAATAGTGAGAGTCTTCAGATGGGATGGATATGGTCCATGCGCTGGCGGCCAGGCCAAGCCAGCTGAAGTCAGCAGAACCTTCCTGGGAGTCTCTGTCCAAAGGGTATCATTAATAATCAAGAAAGGTAGCTAATAAGCAAGCACGGTGTGTTGCTTTCAGATGGCAGAAGCAGACCCGGGTATCTTGCAGCCATTCCAGCAACCTCCAAGAACCACAGTGCCATACACAGTAAAGTGAAATCTGGTTGTCCACCCTGGGGCAGGGTGGGGAGGGGAGGTGTCTGTGCCTTTGACTTTAGGATAAGCGATGGGTCAATGTGAGGAACGGTTATGTGACTCGGCATTACATCTCCTTCTACTGTGCAATTCTGCCTTCCTGTTTTCAACAGGTTGGGGGAAGGTAAACAGCTAATCTCAAGGTACTTTTCCTCCTGCCCCTTCTTTTTCTTGTAGACTTAAGAAAACATCTACACCACTTTCAGAGTTGTTCTTAAGCTACTTGCCCTGGCCCTCGCCAGGGCACCAGCCCTGCCCCTCTGTGTCTCTTGCAGGAAGCAAAAGCAGGAGCATTTGCCCACACAGTTTCAATGGCGTATATTCTGGCCCCAGATCAGAAACTTGGAATGACGGGGTTTTTAATTCTACCCTGCTTGTTGGATTTCTTGGAGTCTGCTTGGACTTCCCTCCACAGTGTCAGCCAGGAAGGAAGAGCTGCCACACTGTTCTCCCAAAACTTGGGTCAGTTCAGATGCCCTCCCCATCTCTGGCTTTTGATGGTAAAGTCAAAAGAGAGAAATGTACTGAATTCTGTCTGTACCAATTCCAACAAATGTTATGAATAGGTAATCATCTGCTCCCAGCAAGAAAACGCCTCCTTGAGAGGGAAGCGGACACGTTGAAACAGAGGCGGGAGGAAATGCCTTGGCAGACAGGCCACAGGCGGGTCAAGACTGCAAGGATGTATCAAACGGGACGAGTCTCTGAGGCGGAGGGAGAGTTGACGCCCCACTGCTGTAGGTCCAGGCAGCTCTTTAGAACTACACAGGAGCTTGATTCGTCTTGATCTACTTATCAGATTTCACTTAAACTTATTAAAATCAGGTTTGTCCATTTGAAAACCATCAAGTCTCGTGGTTGGACAAGGCTTCTCTCTGATGCTTACAAATGGGGTGGTCATCAAAACTCCATCCCCTCGAAGAGATCTGCTGGAGGGGGTCCCTCATGCTGAGGCAGCACCACTTGGTGTCCTGGCCTGGGCATGTGCCCCCAAACGGCCCAGTGACCCTTCAGCTCTCTTCATCAAGAACCAATCACAGGCCTCCCCCAGTTTCCCTTGCAGCGTGGTTTGGGATGCCCACATGGATCGGTTCTTCTCCTCTCATGGAGCCCCCATTCACTATGACCCCTTTAAGGAGAAGTGTCCCTGGCAGACCCCAGCTGTAAGCCACGGGGGGCCCAACTAAGCCAGAATCAGACGATCACAACTCTCCTTCCAAAATTATACTCTTGGGGCACCCGGGTGGCTCAGTCGGTTGGGCATCCGACTTCAGCTCGGGTCATGATCTCGTAGTTCCTGGGTTCGAGCCCCGTGTTAGGTTCTATGCTACCAGCTAAGAGCCTGGAGGCTGCTTCAGATTCTCTGTCTCCCTCTCTCATTGCCCCTGCCCTGCTCACATTCTGTCCCTCTCTCTCTCTCAAAAATTAAACGCTTAAAAAATAATAACAAAAGGGGCGCCTGGGTGGCGCAGTCGGTTAAGCGTCCGACTTCAGCCAGGTCACGATCTCGCGGTCCGTGAGTTCGAGCCCCGCGTCAGGCTCTGGGCTGATGGCTCAGAGCCTGGAGCCTGCTTCCGATTCTGTGTCTCCCTCTCTCTCTGCCCCTCCCCCGTTCATGCTCTGTCTCCCTCTGTCCCAAAAATAAATAAATAAACGTTGAAAAAAAATTTAAATAACAAAATAAATACATAAATAAATATAAATACAGTACTGAATATTAACTTTATTCTCAACCAACCTTTAGCCTGTCTTATTCCCGTACCCGCTAAATCCCATTACCAGACCCTGGACTTCTGCAAATCGTTTTCTGGACCTACAGGCTGGGCCTTTTGTTTGCCGGGTATTTTCACTTGAAAGGAGACAGCTAAACCACAAATCACTTAGGGCACACCCATCCACATCCTTCTAATGTTTCCTCAGAACCAACAACAACAAAAAAATCCAGCAGGGGAACAAGAACCATCAAGTTGAAATGAAGACCAGACCACATTTCATGTAGACAATTACTGGCCTATGAATTTTAGTCAATTATTAATTCAAGCCCCTTGGTATCCGGGCAGCCTGAAAGAATGAAGGCATCTATCAAAGCAAGTTGCTCGGGTGACAATGACCGTGGGGCCACCCTCTCGCTCTGGCCCTCTCCGGGGTCGAGACATGCACTGCTGCAGCTCACAGGCCTCCGGGTGTTGGTGAGGCTGGGGGAAAGCCCCGCAAATCAGTGATCTCCCGCCCAGACCAACTCGTCCCCGGGCTCCCCCACCACGAGTGGGCTCCCGCACTAGATTCTGTCACCAGAAAGTATCAGCACGATCACTGGGTTGTCCCGCTGCAGGTGTTAAGGACAAGCTTCCATTTCCTCCTTGATTTCCAGTCTCCGAATTGCACTGGTAGGAAGAGAGGAAGAGGAGAGAAGGGGAAGGCAAAAAAAAAGGAAGAGAAAAGAAGAGGGAGAGGCTAGTCGCAAATATGAGCCTGGCACCTCTTTAAAAAAATGGACAGAACTATGTACAGAAGCGCTTGCATTTTGTAGGAGAGCAAGCTTGTAAGAGGGGTAATAGGATACTCACTGACCCCCTGACTTGGGAGAAGGAAAAAGCCTCCCCTTCCCAGATGCACTGGCAGAGGACGTCCTAGGACATCAAGCCACCGGGGAAGGAGTCCGACGCCCTGAACACAGAAGGTCGAACAGGAGGGTCATCCGCAGAGGCTCTGACTGAAGTGAGCCTGAGCGACAAGCCCTCCCTGAAACAAATACTGGCTCTCGCTCACTGTCAAGGGTGAACCAGAGCTCTTGCCTGCTAGCTGGGCTTAGAAACTGATCGCCAAAGATCGTTCTTCCCGATGACCCTCTTTCCCCCTCCTGGGGGTTTTATAAATCACTTTTAATTGCCAGCCCTCACGTCCTCCTTTGGACTCACTTCTTTTACGTGGCTTTTCGTTAAAAGGAAAGCCGAGCGCGCTGAGAAGCAGTTTGAGTTTCTCCCCGAACGTTTCCATGACTTTGTCGTTGTTATGACTCTGATGTGGGGGCTGTGTTGGCCAGAGGCACCAACTCCACTTACACACAGCTGGCAAATGAAAACAATATCAGCACATCTCCGCTGCACAGCAGGCTTTTATACGGTGATGCTTCATATTTTACTGCAGTTTCCTTTGGAAATGCTCAAAGCAACGACATCTGTTTCCTTTCATTGGGATTGTTATGTTCTTCCAGCCAAAAAAAAGGAGAGGATAGAGTTCATTAATTCAGCGTAGTAATCATTACAACGTCCACAGAAATTTTGTAGGGTTTGGTGCTTTTAAATAGGGAAGCGTCCACCACCCTCGTCCCCTCCCTCTTTCTTAGTTAAGAGGACATAAAGCTGGTAAGCCTCAGGGCGACACTCCAGAGGTCTTGCGACCACAAACACTCACCACAGGCTCCAAAGGAAGGTGACATTCCCGGACTGCACCCCTCCCCTCCCTGGGGCCCATCAACGACCCTGGGAATGCACAGGGAGGTGCTCACACTGCGTGCGGTGGGTCAAATCACCACCGCACTTATAATACCTGGCACAGCCACCCAGGAGGCAGACACCGCGACCTGTGTGAGAGCTGATGGTAGCCCGGGTGTGGGGGACACAGTGGGTAAAGGGACACAGGCACAGACTCAAGAGGCATTCGGGACATAGAATTTGCAGGGCGTGGTGACCGGTCGGATGGCGGGGAGTCGAGGAAAACGTAGAAGTCAAGGGTGACTGGGTGGAGAGAGGTTGCACTCCCTTGAGACAGGAAATAGTCAAGGAGTGGGTTATGGATGAAGGATAAAAGGCTCGATTTGGGACATGCTGAGTTTGAGGCATCCATACACGCTGCATGGAGAGGAGCACTGGGGTGGATTATGCGCACCCGGAACGCAGGACAAAGAACGAGACTAGACACTTAGATTTGAGTCGTCAGAGGACAGAGGTAACACTTCGGACCGTGGGAAGAGAAACAATCAATCAGCAGAACGTGTAGGATGGGAAGAGAGGAGAAAGCAGGACATAACCCCCAAGAAGCTCGACATCAAGGGGAGAGCTGAGGAAGAGACCCGCAAGGAGACCGACGGGAAGAAAAACCAGAAGAGGGTCCTCTGTGTCATAAAAGCTGAGGAAATGTGTCAGGGAAGGCAGAGATGACCAGCAGTGTCATTGGTGCTGTAGCCACAAGATGGTCATCGGTGGCCTTGTTGAGAACCGTGTCAGTGGTGGGGCGCCTGAGTGGCTCAGTCGGTTGAGCGTCCGACTTCGGCTCAGGTCACGATCTCACAGTCCGTGGGTTCGAGCCCCACGTCAGGCTCTGGGCTGACAGCTCAGAGCCTGGAGCCTGCTTGGGATTCTGTGTCTCCCTCTCTCTCTGCCCCTCCCCCACTCACGCTCACTCTGTCTCTCTCTGTCTCTCTCTCTCAAAAATAAACATAAAAAAAAAAAAAAAAGAACTGTGTTGGTGGCAACAGAATCAGGAAATGAATGAGATGTGAGGAGAGCAGACGAACTCTCAAGAAGTTTGGCCATGGGGCGCCTGGGTGGCGCAGACGGTTAAGCGTCCGACTTCAGCCAGGTCACGATCTCGCGGTCCGTGAGTTCGAGCCCCGCATCAGGCTCTGGGCTGATGGCTCAGAGCCTGGAGCCTGTTTCCGATTCTGTGTCTCCCTCTCTCTCTGCCCCTCCCCCGTTCATGCTCTGTCTCCCTCTGTCCCAAAAATAAATAAATGTTGAAAAAAAAAAATTAAAAAAAAAAAAAAAAAAGTTTGGCCATGAAGGGAAGGAGCCTGTAGTCGGGGGGGCATTTTTGTTGAACTTGTGAGACCTAAGCAAGTATGAATACAGATGGGAAGGCGCCCTAGAAGGAGCTGGAAGGCACAAGTGGGGAGGAATAACCAATCATAAAGAGAAGTCCCTGTGGAGATGAGAAGGGAGAGGAGCCGCCCCACCTTCTCCACAGCAGCAGCAGCTCTCAAGAGAACAGCCGAAGAAGAACGAACGCTGTAGATTTGGTAGCAGAAAGTTCTCAAAGTTCTCTCCCATAGTTTCTGTTTGCTCTGGGAGCGAGAAGGGAGGAAGTGGGCGGTCAGAGATTCGAGAAGAGTGTAGAGATGTTAACATAGCTGAAGGGAGGGAATTCCTACAGCCCCGACCTGAGGAGACCAGTGAAGCGAGGAAGGAAAGAAGGTAGCACCCAGGGAAGCCGGGCCTCACGGCTTCTGGGCTGCACTCCTCTGAGGGCAAGATGCCGGTTATATACTATACTATTCATCCCGCCATTTACTCTCTACTGACACCAACAGACGGAGGTCCTACTGAGAACCAGGCCTATTCGGAGCCACCGGGCAAACGGTAATGATGGCATAAAGCAGTGTAGCCCAGGGCACTGGCTCAGATTCATCTCAGTTGTCTGCTCAGCTTTTCCCTGAGCATCTTCAGGGTTGTCCTTGGGTGAGAAACTCAAAACCTTTTTTTTTTCCTTTTGAACATGCTTATTCGGGTTTTGATTCTGTGTTCCTCCAAATAGATTAGCTTGGTGGTTATGCCAGAACTTGAAGAAGCTAAAGAACAATGGGCCGACTGACTTTGACTTTCCTAAGCTTTCAGGATATGTGAGGGGTCTGAAGCCCGTGAAAGCAACAGACCTACAGTGAGGCTGACCTTATGGTGACCTCCTGGCTCACCTGCCCTGGAGCTGAGTGGACATTTTAGAATGAATGATAATGACTTTCTGTTTAAATGGGTCGTGTCACCTTGCGCGTCAGCCCCCTCCGTGCGGTACCCTGGGATGGATTCTGTTTTGCAGGCAGAGACGTGACCTTGAAGTGAAATGAAGCAACTGACTGAAATGAGTCCTCAAACATAAGTAACCCAGCAAGCTCAGGTGGGCTGGGACTGAGGTGTGAGGTCAGGGAGGCCAACATGGCGGATTGATTGGGACCCTGGCTCAGAACATCACCAGGGAGAGCTCTGTAATGGTCCCATGCTTGTATCATTAAGCAAAGCTACAAGCCACCCTGTGCCTCAGTTCCCTCCTTGGTAAAATCAGGATTAAAAAAAAAAAAAAACACCAAAAAACAAAAAGGGGCGTATCTACCGCACAGGGTTGTCGTATAGATTAAATGAGTTAATATTTCCATGAAGCGTTTAGAATAGTGCCTGGCACGTTGAAAATGCTAAGCAAACAGTATTCTTTTTTTCCATCACAAAATGAAAGTCAGCCAAAGGGACAGGGGATTGGGATGGGGAGGAACCACCGTCCCTTCCCCACTCAGAGGGTAAGTTAT